ATGGGGTGGGGCTAGGTTTCACAATGAGCTCACCCGAAACCTTGGCTGATTGTGACCTACACCCATTTTCACACCTTGGCTCATGTGATTAGATAGAGGATCATTAGGGGGTCCATTGTCCCCCTAATTGCAACTTAAATCAAGGGAAATACATATATATCCTTCATTAAATGTAAAAAACGGGACTCAAATGCTTCCATGGTGCATAACTATCAATAAAAAAATGCCAACAATCTAATGTAATCTAAAGGCTTAATGATTTTACTATTTATTTGTTTGGCTTGTAGTTCTTCAGGTTACTTAAAAGGTGGCAGTATATTGAGTTTACTGTCGCTCAGTGGAAGTACAGTCTTCTTTTCGGGCTGTGTTTTCTGCACAGAGCCAGCTGTTAAGTACAAAATGGCCATCATGGAATCAGTCCACCTCATACCCTCCCCCTCAGTCTGTGAGGATTTAATAAAAACATGTGTAGAGTGGGGCAGCGTGGAATACGTACACTGTAATTTTCACCAAAAAAAACAAAACAAAACATTTACATTTCATCTGATTTACATTCAGTGATACCACAGTTATATCGTAATACCAGTTCTCTTAGTGGTGCTTACTTAGACATGACGTTTTATTTCAGGGGTCGGCTGAGAGCGCTCAAACAAAGCTGCAAACAAAAAGAAAAGAAAAACGCTGCAACTTCACTTTGCTGGGCTGTGAGATGCACGAGAGGCTACAGCAGGCATGGGGCGGGGAGCAGCAGACTGATACAGAGCAACATTAGCAGAAGTACATTACACATTATACATTTATAAGTCCACTGGTTTACCGAATCGTGGTATGCAATATAGAAAAACCGAAAAGCACACAGACTTTACTCGACAGGATCATATACAGTTAAAAACGGACCAAACTCAGTTTCCCCATTGAGTAATAAAAATAAATATTACCACTAGAGCATGTCAGAAATCAGCTGTAGCATCATAACACAACCAGCTGGACACGGGATGAAGAAAAGATGGAATTTTGTGTCACTGTGTTGCAAAAAAACAAAAATGGAGAAACCCTTAGATGTGGCATCGTTAAAGGTTCTTTCCATGACTGCACTGAAACCTGCAGGAATAATCTCGTATGGCTGACTGGCCCTAGAGATTACCATCTAAACCACAGATTCCACTCTATCAATGCAGAGTCTCCGTTTAAACACGTTCACGCCAGAGGTTGATTGACCCATGCAAGCCCTCACTAAGGTGATTCTGTGACTAAACTCACTGTATCTCACTGCAGAAGTAAACACATGAGCGTGGACACCAACACAAAGAACAGAACAGATACACCACGCTTGACAATTTAATAGTCCACTGGTAGTAAGCTTACCAACCCCCAACAAGCAAATTATACTGGATGCTCCAACTTGGATAAAAACTCTTTAGACTCTTCAATTCACTCCTAAATTGACCTCTCAAGCATGGTTGCCCTCTCCCAGTCATTCTTCACTGTTTGGGGCCGGAGGGGTTGGATCTCTGGGCGGCGTGGCACGGGTCCAGGGACTCCTTGGTGGCGCCGCCGTAGACATCTACGTCGTGGTCGGTCCAGGGCGCAATGTTGCCCAGGGCCGAGGAGCTGCAGTCGGCCACGGCGGCCACCTCGGCTGGCTTCAACACCCGGTCCCACAAGTTAAACTGAGAGAGCTCCCCGACCAGGGCCTGGGAGGCATCAAAACGCCCACCCAGTGTGTCCTTGGGTAGAAGAGATAGCACATAATAAAGGTAAGGTATATCAATAAAGGTACATTCAGAACTTCAACACCAGCCATTTTGAACATTATTACATTACTATTTGTGCTGGGGGGGAAAAGAACGATTTCCATTGGAGTATCGTTTGGCAGCAGTTTGCTTGACAAAGTTTTTAATTAACACTAAGTAAATAACGATTACCCACTTCTTTAGATAAATACCAAAACTATGCTTTAAATGTCAAATCAGGTAACTGGTGAAGGCACTGAGCTAAAATAAAGTTTATTCTACAGGAAAATATTCAATTTTTTCCTGATTTTGCACAAATACAATTAAAAGCATTAATTTCCCTCTTGTGTCCTGGGAGTTTTCTCCATAAAATCAAGTCAACACATCTCAGCCAGCAGCAATCCATCAGCCATCCTCAGAGGAGATTAATGAAATACTTGCTCCCTCTCGAAACTATCCATCAAATTACGTCGTGCCCCATCAGTGTTTTTGTCCTTTATGCAAGGACAAAAGAGCTGCGGGATGAGCTTCGGGTTGTTCTTTTGACACCAGGGAGGGATAATGTCGCATTTCGTAACCGTTTTGTAATGTAGTTGTTTCGCTAATGATTAGCCAAGTGTGAGGATAAACACCATTAGGTTTCTGCCTCTTCATGTGTGAAAAGCTAATGGTGGTTCCTTAAAATAGCTCTCCTGGTTTCTCTGTGTATGTTTATCCACGGATCATTCACCTATGAATCATCCATCCATCCATGCATCCATCTCACCTGCTCCTGTCCCAGAATGAGGACTCCCCCGGGTTTGATTGGGTGCCAGGCCGCCAGTCCCTCCCCTCGTCCCTTCATCTTCCCACCCTGGTAGGCCTTCCAAACCCCATCTCTGAGAGTCCAGCTGACACAGATGTGCTGCCACTCATCCTGTGGCAGGGACAGGGGCAGCTGCGCCACCTACAGGCCAGAGGAAACAGCGGCCACAGTTAGAATTTCTCAAACTTGCAGACACTGAGCTCGCATTATAATTGGAACACCTTTCACCACAGTAAACCTCGACTACACTGCACTCTCTCACGGGAACTATACAGCAACTATATGAGCAATATTAAAGGAAAACACTGGCGTGCCGTGTTCCTCAATAATGTATGTTTGCTGTGGATCCCGCCGCTACAAATGCAGAAAAACACAAACAGAGGGCACGTTCTTCTTACTTTTAATCAATAATTTTAATCAAGGCATTTGTTCTGGACAAAGAACAATTTTAGGCAAAGTAATGTTGCAGTTTGCGACTGAATCATGGCCGTGATAAATCACAAAAAAGTCTGATTTTAATGCTCTTTTTTTCCCTCCTATCTTGTTTACACTTGTAAATTTTTAATGTGTTGTTGAAGTGCACCGTCTGTTTTAGTTTTACGTTCTCTGCATTGTGGGAATACACATATTTTTTTGGGGGGGGGGATGATCGATGGCAGAAGAGGGATCAACACCAGCGCACACCTGAGGCTGAGAACCAAAACCCAAACTTAATGTAGATGGTGATTCACGTACTGTTTACTCAAACGACAGCACACAGCTGTGACATTTTCAGGTTTGCTTTTTCCATCACTCTTGTAAAATTCCATCACTCTGTGAGAATGAACATGTTTACATCGCTCACTTTAATAACAGTAAGCCATCAACTATACTCTACTGTTCTGTAAGACATCGTAATTAGTTTCCTTGCAGGCTTCTGTGCTTGAGTAATTACAAGGAAACCTTAAAGGTTATGAGATATTAATGCTTTTCCTGAGAAGAACCATTAATTTTCCCATGTAAAATGTTCTGACTTGTCCCAACGTCCAGATATTAGCACAGGTACAACAGACAGGTAGGTCTGAGAAACCCTCGTTACCTTGTCGTTGATAAGCAGCTCCACGGGATTGTGGACTCCCTGTAACAGAACCAGCTCATTGGGCTGCCCCGGCACAGAGTAGGAGAAGGGGGTCCCAATGCCACCCTCTTTGGCTTTGAGCCATAGGCAGGCAGTGAAGGCATACATCTCAGTAATCTCTTTCCTGACCAGGCCGTACATGTAGTTGGTCCGCATGGGGAAGGAGATGACAAAGCCGTCAGGGAACGGTGGCTCCGTCATCGCTTTGGAGACACACATGAAGGATATGAAGAGAAAGAAGTTAGATGCTGTAAGGCAGACCCAGAGAGAAAACAGCGAGCGATGATGGCATTAATTTATACAAGGACACTGAGGCTTCTCTTCTCACTTGTCTCTGCTAGTTTGCGCTCAAGCACACACTCGGGCGCAGAGCGCTTGGCAAGAGCTCAGATGTTACAGTTAATGATCACCCTCTCTAACTCGAGGCCACACTGCAGCTCTTAAAGCTGAGAAGATGTAGAGGTGGTCAGAGAGGTTGGGAGAATGACAGAGTGGTGAAAAAAAGGGGATAAATCAGTGCTTTTTCCTATTAACCTTCCTCTTGGCACCTCGCAAACTCTCAATCTCACCTCTGAGCGTCCACTTCTCCCATTATCAAAGAGCGTATACTCCTTTTTCGAGAAGCTTTCACCTGCAGTAACCTTATTTCTGCTCAGAAAATCTGCAAATAAAGCCCTTCAAAACCAACGTAACACATCCAGACCTCGTTCCTGACACCCGCAAAGCAAGAATCCTTCCCGTAGGTCCCCCGTGAGGATGAAGATGAAGATTAAAGCAGGTAAAAGCAGCGGATGATTTCAGATATATTATTCTCTCCTTCCTATATATTTTTTATTTTTAGCTCTCAGCTCTCACTTTGACATTTTCTCACCCTTAAGCACTCATTAATCATCTAATTTTAACCTAAAGCATATTCTCTGCTGCTGAGATGACCCAGTTCACCAGCAGAGCTCGTTAAACTTTCATTTCAGCCTTCTCTTGCAATGCTCTGATCTACGTTCAGCTTGATGTTGCCCTTGTCTTACTACCCTTTACATCAGTTAATCTGTCCCTTCCTTCATTTATTTAGCCAACAATGTCATGTCTTTATTTCGCCTCCTCTTTTTTTCCTTTCTTCCCACCCCCACACTCACTGTGTTCCAGCTCGGTGACACGGTGGCTGACGTTGTCGATGCCCTTGTTGATCTTCTCATGCTGGCCCTGAGTCTCCTTCCTCATGGCCTGTCTCTCCTTCTCTAGCATCTTTATCTTCCTTTCCAGCTCCCCTTCCAGGTCCTCCACCCTCCAGGTGCTCTTTCCACGCCCAGGGGGACCCTTAGCAGGAGGCCTGGAGGCAGAGGAGCCAGGGGAAGCAGGACGGCGGCCCCCTGGGGCAGACCCTGCAGATGGGGAGGAAGTACTGCTGGAAGGCGGAGCTGGAGCCTTGCCGGTGTTACCAGCTGTGCTGCTGCTGCCGCCGCTGCTGCCGCCACTACTTACGCCCACAGATGTGTCTGTGAGGTTCAAAGCAGCAGGGCCTATCTCTGCCTGTAGGAGAGAAATAAGAAACATGAGGTCTGTGTTAGCATTGATGCTAGTTAGTACTGGTTAGACACATTTAGAGAACAAATTTAACAACAGCAGATTTATGACAAGGACATAAAATGATTCAGTAGGTGAGTAATGCTACAGTTCCAGTGACAGTTTGGAAGTAATATATATATA